AAAGTTTTTAACATATTTGACCCCTGTGACCTTGAAAATAGATGAAGGTCATTTATTTGAACAAACTTGGTAGCCCTTCATCCCAGTTTGCTTCTGGCCAAATATCATCACCCTAGGCCTTTCGGTTATTAAGAAGAAGTCGTTTAAAGTAAAATATTGACGCCGGACGACGGACGGACGACGGACGCCGCACCACGGTGCCAGGTGACCTAAAAATGATGAAATAAAAATAAATCCCGACCCACCTATCCTAATTTGTTTAGGATACATAGATGTGTATTTGTTTTGGCCTAATGTATGTGCTTCCTGTTATCCTAATTAAAAGACCAGACATTAGTTATATTTCAGCACAAAGCAACACCTACGATAAGTCTGAATCAACACATATGTTACCTTGACTGATATTTCTAAACATTTTCTTCGGGTTGGTAAGTATGGATTATTAAAAGTTCTTTTTACACTGCACACAAAGGCGTAAAATTTTGTACAATAGTTGTTATATTATATGTACCGAAATGACTCGATTCAGCTACGCTTTGTTTAAACACTTAGTCATAGATGTGCGTGAGTCTTTGAGCCTTCCTTGAGTTACCTTGACTGAGCTTCATCTTCTGTTGAAAATCTGTTTTGTTTTTCTGTTTTTCTGTTGTCTGTCGACAGCTTGTTGTAAGATGCTTGCTTCCCGGCAGCTTCCTTGTCACCTGGTGCCAACGTGGTAGATTCTGGTTTTACCTCAGGCACCTTAGACCCATTGCTACCGTCGACACCCTCAACTCCTGTACTGTTAGCCGCAGCATCATGGTCCTCCAAACGCTTGAGGAATCGCTCTTCAAACGTGATAAAGTTGTTGAATATATTGAAGCTTTCCTCGGTGAAAAACACATCTTTTCCATTCTTCAAAGGAACATCCCTAAAATACATCAGACAATCAACGTTATTGAATCACTGTCCCAGAACATGCAAGACAGCTCTGTGGAGATTAAAATAAGGTTATTTCTGCTAAAGAACGCATGAATCCTAGACATTTCAGTATCTGATCGTGTCGTTACCTTATTTGTAAAGACGAGAAAGGCTGAAGAATCTTGAAATTTTAAATCAGCAACACACAGGACACAAAAAACAAACAAAATGAAAAGATAATTAGTTAGAGTACTGAAATTCTTAAAAATATTGAAAAACTTTTTGTGGCGATACTACAGCGAGTTCCTTTGCTACTTTCAACCATTAACCATCGTTTTCTTCAATATCAACAAACAACTGGATGATGACATGTTAATGTGTAACAGGAAGGGAGAGTTGTGCTTCCATCGGGAATCAAACCCGCGTCCCCCAGCTTTACTGATTGAACTAAAGGGAAATTCACTCTGGCGTGATGTTAGAAAGTGACCGTAATCCTATGTACACTTTTAATCTGCCATACTACTACTTACCCCATTTTAAATGTGTTCGGCTTTGAACACCACAACAACCCAGTTCCAACTCCCTGTCAACACAGGGATCATTGCTAGGGCCATGCACATCATTTTTAACGGGAAAAAGAGAAATGTGATATTCCAACAGGGATTGAACCTGCCACCCCCAGCTTCCTGGATTGCCACTCTACCTATTGAGCTGAAGGGAAATCCCTCTAGCGTGAAGCTAGAAGGCAACCCTAATCCTTTTACAATTTCAATCTGCCACCAACAGATTATTTCCCTTGTGACGGGTTGTATACAGATATGATAAAAAAACACACATTCAAATTTGATTAATGTTATTTTCAAAGATACTAATGATAGGATGGAAAAGCGACGAACCTCAACATTGAGATTGTGCCAGAAAAATCCTCTGGTGAGATTCTTGAAAGTTCAACCACAGGGGTTCGTAACAAATGTCTGAAATACACATATGCTATAGTGATATTGGTCAAAGCACATTTATGTGCACTGTGACCCATATCAGTAAAGCATATGTGTATGTCAGACATTTGTAACGAACCCCTGTGGTTCAACCCTTGGTTAGGACTTCTACTTCTACTTCTAAAGGGTACTGACCAACTTCAACAATCTGAAGATAACTGTCAGAGGAGGAGTAAAAACGGAGAGACTTTTGGAAGCAGAATTTAATCAGTGTTGGTAAAATGACGGTAGAGAGCTAACTTAAATTAATCTGTTATAGGGCTGAAGGCAATATTTGGAGGGAGCTTATTCCACCACGGTATGGTACGAGGGAAGAATGAAGTGTTTCTGGTCTGCGTTTTAGATTGTGAAATTTGGAACGAAAGCCGATTGCTATGCCTGGAATGTCTAATTGGAGGTGTCAGTCTGTCATTCTTGACTACATTGACGTGGTTGTTAACGATGTTATAGAGCATAGTCAGACGAGCACTCCTCCGTCTTTCCACTAGAGGGCGCAGCTTTAAGTGGTCAAGCATATCTGACACACTGGAGGTACGGTGATTGTATCTGTGATTATTTAGCATGTACTGTGCAGCCCTGCGCTGTACCATTTCGATTTTATCGATATTTGTTTGGGTTTGGAGGTTCCATACTGTACAGGCATACTCTAGTGATGGTTGTACTAGGGATTTGTATGCCTTAAGATTCCGCCTCAAAAAGCCTGGAGTATAATTGGCTTTGGAACAGATGTTGTTTACATGGGAGTCCGTGGTAACACCCAAATACTTGGCCTGATCTACATTCCCTAATATGTGTCCATGTAGAGTATAATTAGTGACTATGGGGTTTATACTTTTACTAATGGACAGCACATTGCACTTGCTAGGATTGAAGACCATTTTCCATGTTTTTTCCCACAGCGCTAGCTTGTCAAGATCTTTTTGCTAAGTTTCGGCATCGCTGTTAGACTTGACACCCAGGTATGCAATTATGTATCATCAGCAAATAAACGGATTTTGGCATCGAGGCCCACAGGGATGTCATTGATATAAAAGAGAAATAGACTGGGTCCTAGAACCGATCCCTAGGGTACGTCAGAATGGACATTTGCAAAGTCAGACCTTTCCCTGTCTGAATTCTACCAAACAGAAAACTCTCGATCCAGTTCTTTACATTACCTCTAATACCATAATGCTTTAGTTTATGGATCAGCAGTGAGTGATCGACTTTTGAGTTTCACAGGATCGAGAATTGCGAAAACCATGTTGGAAAGGATAAATGTAGTCCGAATTATTCTGACGTTTTATCGACTTTTTTCATATCGGTCTGTCGTCGGTTAATCGACGACAAACCGATATGAAAAAAGTCGATAAAACGTCAGAATAATTCGGACTAGGATAAATGATGTTGTGTGTATCAGCATGTGTCATGATGTTTGAGACCACAATAGGTTCCATACTTTTGCTACAATAAAAATTTGAGGTTCTTGTATATATACCACTTTATTACAACTGAGTTTGTAGGTTCACAAATTAGTATCCGTGGTCATAGGGCCTTTGCAACAAGCCAATACCTTTCTTAACTCCATGGGGAGCATACAGCCGGTGCTGCCATTTCGGCACTAACACTAACAGCTAGCATTAAACAATTTTAGCACTGCCCAACCACATACTCATGTACAGCTGAGTGGACTGGAACAAGCGGAGAAGAGTATCTTGCCCAAAGATTCAACACAGTGCCGTGCCATGCCTCGAACCGGCAACCCTTCGGCCACGAGCCCGGCGTCCTACCACTAGACTAACGTACCTCCGTTAATTACAATCATGATAATAAACCCTCGGGTTGAGATTTCTCTGTCATAACCTCACGACAGAGAAACATTATATTAAGCATCAGTTTACCCTATTTGTAGCTAAATTCGTTTGTGTTTCTGTTTATGCAGTCGTCTTACAATCGCTTTGTAAACGAATGGCATTTCATCCGTCGAAACTGGTGATGTTATAAGTTTTACGATGCGAGGTTAATTCAAATTCAACTCACCAGTTAAGTGACATGTTAACTGGATGTCAAATAAAGTGGTTGCTGGATAATGCCATCATTACGTGTTACAAATAAATGTTGTCACAGAACTTATTTTCCATTTCCAGTAGGAAAAAAAACGTGATTCTCCAAACTGATCCAGTTACCGGAAGTGTTATTTTACACCGGAAGTAATAATTCGACAAGGCAAATAAAACGAAATAACTAATTTATGATGTCTTCAAATCTTGTATTTTTTTACCAAGTGTTAATGATATAAAACATCATTGATGAAAAAATGTAATTTGTTTTCAAAATGTTACTCAAACATTCAAACGCTAATATAATGTATTAGTTTCGTTTCTTATAACTACGTCATGCAATATATGCATTTCCTGGATACGACGTTGCTAAGAACATCATAATAAAGAAACTGGTTGTTTTGTTGCCCAGTGGAGTATTTGGTACAACCAGAAGTGCCGAAGATGGAGGGAGCCACAATTTACGATCTCATTCCTGTAGAGGAAGCCAAAAGACAAAAACAGGCTAGGTAAGTTTGTTTTGACAGATTTTTAAGCGATAAATCACAATCGATAAGAAACACTGTTGGTATGTTGCAGCAGTGGGCCTAATGAGCTTAGCTGAAAAGTCTTCTTAAAGGCCTCAATATTAATTGATTCTATACAAAATTGGTCACTATATCATTCCCTGCATTATTATGTGTAAACTGCAAAAATGAGAAGTAGAACAAGAAAACATATCAGTTCTTTTAACCATAAAATTTTCCTTTCACGACATGAATATATTGATAAAAAAAATCACTCTGATGGAAAAATGTGTCCCTGGTACTACACTGTCCAGAGATTCAACTGGAATAAGAATAATTAAAATAAAAAATATTTTCAGTACAAGAACTTTAAATGCTAGTGGCAGTTTTATTTTGATGTACTATTTGTTATTACTGTAGAAAATGTGTTATCCAAGTTGTTTTTTTGGAGAAAATGATTTAAAAACTGCACTGAAATGTGTCAACAGTAATATCACAGTATGGCATTTGTTATCCTTTCACAAACAGTATAATTTGTAAGGTTGTTATTTTTGGTATCATGATAGCTAAATGTACATGTATGTTAAACATGACAACATGCATGGAAGTCATAAAAGAAGACAATTTTCATTGTGGAAGAAATGAAGTCTAGTAATACAAGCTCCCACTCACTTGATCTGGTGACACTGGCTCTAAAATCGACAAGGTTCTTCATCTGTGTATTCGGGTCAGTTAACATGGGGTCATACAGATGTCTAAGTTTGTCCCTTCCCGTCCTAGTCTCCTTCACCGTACATTCATGTTTATAATAACAATTGGGCAGGTTGAAGTTGGACCTGCATGTTTGCAAAATTTCTTCAATATTTGGACTTGTTAACAAATTTAGAGTTGTTATTGAAGAAAACTATCTGCTGAGAATAAAACAAAAAATACCCAGTATATATGTATTGTAAATGTCAAGTTGGTTGCTGTGCAGAAAAAAAAGACATCAATGCCGTCATGGACCAATGCATGCTGCTGTTTTTTTCCAACCAAGTGCAACTAGAAGGATGATGGAGCCTTCATCTAGATATAGAATCAATTCAAACTCACTTTCCAGTATTTTCCTGTATACATGTTGACATGGACTAAACAGTTTGCACTGCTGAGCCGGTTGCTTCTCGTGATCGTTTGAGAGTGCCCACTATGAAAAATGAAGCCAAAACGAGTTCCCACCTATGTGAAGCAAATTTTACGTATTACAGTCAATATGGGTAATTCCTTTGTTTACAGGCATGTATCCAAATTCAAGCTTACAGCCAAACATGAACATACGGAGAACAGAACGAACCATAAAACAATGGGACAAGCTAAGGTACCTGTTCCTACCACAGATGATTACCTAAAGAAGCGATCAAAGGAACCAGTTTTGCCAGACAGTAAGTACTGTATGGACATGGGAATCTACTGTATTGTGCATTAATTGTACTAGATCCGGGTCGTTTAGTCCTAAGGACAAAATCCTGTTTGCACCACGGGTTGATTCACCCTAAATCCAGTTCACCACAGGTTGGTTCGCCCTAAGATAAATAGAACCTTTCAAGTTATGAAAATCAGCTGAAATGTTTTTAATGGTTAAAAAACAATGTGTTTTCATTTTTTCACGAACAATTATGTTGTCGGAAGAATTTCACGCAGGTGTAGCTTAAGAAATAACCTGACACCAGTTGGACTTTGACTGTCTACTGACAATATATTTCATTACATTTTAATGTTAATACACTGCAATATTATAGATAGTATTGAACTGAGAATGACATGTGAATATGTATTAGGGTTATGCAACAATTTGAAAATCTAGAGGGTGGAATTTCCCTTTATCCTACACCCCTGGGCATGAAACTGAGTACTTTTCTCTCATTCCAAAAATCAACAGAATTAATTCAGAAACAAAAACACAAATATTTGCTGCAAATATTCGTGCATCACCGCATCAGATTTTTCCTGATTATTTTTGTGTCATTTCATTGTTGTCTCATTGTGATGTCACACACTTAAAATAGGATGTATGAAAGAAACTTTTAACACCCCATTTTTACCCTAGATACGCGCACAAAAATGAGAAAAAATTGATCTATATTACCGATTGCAGGGTAGTACTAATTTACTTGATTTAATGGTCAACAGGACCACCAGATTTATTTAGGTGATCCTTCTCAATTTCAAAATATCATTCTTAAATTTTTAGAAAAAAATTCACAACAGTATTATAAAGAATATTTAATTTTCAAAAAATGAATGTAACATACGAAAAGTAGAACTCTCAAATTTGTTTTGATGTTTTGTTGCCTAAATTCCTTTCTACCAATAACCTTGGTGCACCCCTACTCTAACAGTGTTAGAGGTTTACAGCGCCGCGTTGGAGTCGGCAAAATCATATCCGATAGAAAAAAGGCTGACCAGCGGCCTCTTATGTTATATAGGAGTACCCTCCCCCCTGCGACTGTGATACAAGCAAAGGACTATATCAAATTGTGAGTTACTTAACCCCAAACAAATATTTTCTTTTTCAGAAACTCAGTTCAGATACCCTGACGAGGAGAGACGGAGGCCTGGGGTACCAGCCAAGGACAATACTCCCCTCATGGGTCTCAAAACAAACAAGAATTTCATCACAACCAACGCTGTCCAGAATATCACATCCGTACCTAAAGCCTCACAAAAGATCTATTGTGACACGAGGAATGGAGACAAGAATTACCTTACACCATCTGGTCTGGAGCCAAAATACGTCCATAAAAAGGTGAGCAAATGTTTTTCTTCGTAAAAAAAATCATTACAAAAATAACGAAAATTGAGTCCATGTAGACACAGAAAATTCCTATAAGAACTTTTCTTTCATAAAAATGCATGTGCTGTACTTGCATTTTGAACAGATCTACCAGCCCCAGACATCATGCTTGTGAAAATGTACATTAAATTCCTGAATAATTTTATGTTTCACAATACTAATCAAGGCACATGGAAATTTTGAAAACGAAATCTTCATATACCTGGTAAATGTCATATTTAAAAACAAAAATTAGGAGAAAATTGTTCAATATACTGTATGCTGGGAAATTTTCGCCACAGTTAAATTTTTCGCCTTTTTTTCGCCCTCTGTAGTAAGGGCAAATTTATCATTAAAACATAAAAATTATAGTAATCAAATGTGAAAGGCGAAATTAACACTGGGCGGATATGGATTTTACTAGCGTAAGGCAAAAGTTTGACTGGATGAAAAATTCCGGTATACAGTATTTGAGTGAATGGTATATGTACAATGTAATTAATCAGTGTCAAGCTGGTCATTTTCTTGTTATTTAAATTATAAAATCATTATTTTCTCCCAATCTTTTTATTGCAACTATAATTCGTCTTTTTCTGAAGGGTTTCTCCATAAACACGAAATCATTTGTTTCATCCCAATCTTCATAATGTATAACTATAACCTTCTATTACCGAAGAGTTCCAACTAAAAATGGAAACACAAAATCATTATTTCATCCCCATAAAAATTGAATCACTATATTTTTACCCTTTTAATTCCTAACTTATGTTCCTAAACCTGTATTTTATGACACAATTTTCAGGAGTATGGAGATACACCCACGTACCTTGTGAAACGTAAGGAGGAGATGCAGAGAGCCCAGGAGGAGTACGACGCATACATTGCTGAACATTTCCGCCGCGGTGCCATGAGGTCGCTGACCACCGATGAAAGGCAGGCAATATTGAAAGGGCTACAGACAAACTGGGAAGATATCCATGATCAGTATCAGAGTCTCTCAGTCGTTACGGACACGGCACCAAAGAAAAACCGCAAGGAAAGGATGGAGGCTGAAATGAAACAACTAGAAAGAGACATTGAATCTTTTCAAAGACACAAGGTCATCTACATTTCTAACTGAACAAATTAATTTAATCTAATTTGGACTACATCAGGAAACGATTTATTTAACAGGTTCCAAAATCTAAAAGGAAAACTCCTTTATATGCTGGAGGAATTTACTTAACAAAGATATTTTGAAAATTTCATAGAGAACTCATAAAGAAACATTATCAGGAGTAGGAGAAAACACCAAATCTAAACAAAGATGTTTTGAAAATAGTGTCATTATATATTTTCAATTTAGAAAATAAATTTGTGAATTTTATGTGTAGAATAATTAATATACTTCTGGAGTCACTGATCATGAAATGCCGGAGCAGATTGTTCGTGGTCTGTTCAGACAATCGTGAATATGTAGTCTGAGATGAAAATATCACATGAACATCTATATTTTCACAAGGAATGGGTAGCTCAAGCTCAGGTTGCTTCTTGTTACCGTGTACATACATTCCCATATGTATTTTATCTTCAGAAATATATAATATGTAAATAAATGTCAATACATACAATAATGTTGTTTTTACTAAATAAAATGTGATCAATAGTCAGTACATCCTGCTGAAAGGCAAATAAACTTAAACTGTGGTGTGGCATCTGCTTGTCCTCAACTTTTCCTTCAAAATGTTCCAAGTCCAGATCACAGGGAGAATTTCAGTGTGCTGCGCCGGAGCATAACGTTTGAAAACACTGATCATGAGTGACGTCATCCGCCAGTGACTTCACTTGTTTGTAGGAGTAAACTGTAATCAATTATAATCACCTACTGTGCACACATAAATATGTTGTGGCCACTTATATGTAAGTGTTGATTTTACATGGACTGTCCAGTTGTCCGGTGATAATCTGATTGGAGTTCATTTAAGCTTGCATAACAGCGTTGGGTTTTAAGTATTTTCAACATGTTGTGAAAAGGTCCGTAAAAGTGGTTAACATTTTTCGATAATTTCGCTGGTGTTTAGAATTCACGGATGTTAGTCAGAGCGCAAATAAAGTAAAATTAAAACCCCTGCTAAATATAACCGCTATACAACAGTATTGAGAAATGGTCGCTTAAAGGTTTAAAAACACTTTACCCTTGTAACCTTGAAAGTTGGTCAAGGTCATTCATTTGAATAAGCTTATATCAACACTTCATCTCAGCATGCTACTAGCCAAATATCAGCTACCCTAGACTTCTGGATTAACACATTTGACCCCTTGTGACCTTGAAAGTTGATCAAGGTCAGGGTTTATACACAAATTTGATAGTCCTTCATCCCTGCATCAGGTACTGATTGAATATATTGCTTTAAGGCTTTTTGGTTATTCTGAAGAAGACTCAAATGATACACACTGCCTTTGACCTAAACACAATATATCGGAAAAGATTTGCACAGGAACAAGACAACATAGAAGGATGTTGGATGGTGTGAGACATCGATGAAGCACAGGGAATGGATTATTTTTATGATGTTGTTTTTATGATTCACAGAATTTTGAAAAGTAGGTCACAGTGACCTAGTTAGGTCTAATCAGATGAAGTGCTATCAATTTTGTTCAAATAAATGATCTTCAACCATGGTCACGGTCAAAGTATTTGACCCTAGCTGTGACCTTGAATATGGGTGACAGCCATTCATATGAGTTAACCTAATGGCCCTACATATCATTGCCCTAGGCCTCTTGGTTGTTAGAAGTTTAGTAAAATGTTGACTCTGGAAGGACTGCAGCTGCCCCACTGCACAAGTTCCCTCGACCCTTTGGACCAGGTGAGCTAATGATGTAGGTCATCTTTTTTAAGCAAGTCACAGCAACCTGATGTGGTCAAACAACAGACCTGTGTTGAATTTTTAGTCCCCAACCGGTTCCCGGGGAACACTAGGTTTGCACTCTGTCCGAGAAGTTTGTCTGGGATATATCTTATACACTTTTTCACCTGGAGTCACTAGATTTGGTGTACAAGGACATTTTGGGATGATGGAGTGTAGAGTGCAAGAATTAGGTCACTGTGACCTATGTTTTGACATTTGACCATAACTTTTGAAAAAGTTTGTCTGGGGCATATCTTCCATAGTATTTAGCCTTGAGTAACCACATTTGGTGTACAAGGACATCTTGGGATGACGGAGTGCAGAATGCAAGAATTAGGTAACTGTGACCTATGAGTGACCTTTACTTTTGAATATGTTTGCCTGGGGCATATCTTCTATACCATTTCACCTGGAGTAACCAGATTTAGACCACAAGGACATCTTGGGAAGACGGAGTGCAAGAAGTAGGTCAATATCACCTATGCTTCCTGACATAAGTGTACTGTTTGTTAAATATAGAAATCATTACCGGTCGGGGACTATGGGTTGCCTTGTTAATTTGATAATTTGAAATAATCATGTGGATGGACTTGAGAAAGTCTGTGTTGATCAGAAAGATTGTTGGACGGATGACAGACACTGCAACACCATCATATCACAGGCACATTGTACCAGATGAGCTGAAAAAATAACCTCAGAAATATTTGGAATATTACAGTATTTTTATTGAGTTAATTCCACGCAAAAAATCATGTCTCTTTACATCTGGAATACTTGGAATATTTGTTCATAGTTAGACCATACAGTGAAATAACATTACTGTGAATTCAAAAACATTTTCAAACATCATTCAGGATATTCAATTTACTATTATGCCAACACGCCACAATACAATTTTTAGCAAGTCAATTTTGACGCATTGAAATTCAAATGTATTAAAAATGTAAATTTGAGGAGGCCAAAACTAGGGTAAAGGTAATCCATTTGGCCACTTTCCGCCTCCTATAGATAACTGATCATAAATACGAGCTCCAAAAACAGTCTGGATCTCTAGATCAGCATTATTGTGCGCTCCGAAACATTTTAGAACAATATTATTGTTAGCTCCCAAACATTCTAGAATATATTCAATACTGGCATTCAAACAGTTCTTCATAATTTTTCAACAAAATCGTTGAAACATTACCCGAGGGACCTTTGCAATACTAAAGTTGCGTGCATATATCTGTTTTTGCCAAGCAACATGCAGTGTATGTATTGATTACAAAGTCCCAAAAGTGAGCAAAGTATTTATTATGTTAGTTTTACAGACTGTAGATAGTATATATTCAAAACATCTTTATAATTACATATTGCACAATTTCTGTGATTTTTAACTTGGGTACGTACATGTAGATATAGGGAGATAGTCATCCAAGATATCCAGGGGTTACGCTCACTTTCACTCTCTACACCCTGGAATATGTCATAGCAAAATTGAAGGCACTAACATAGCTGTTTGATTGGTCTTGGGTAAAAAAACCTGACCAATCGCTAGGCTGATACCTGCCCTTTGAAGATTACAAAGGAGAGACGCCCAACTTCAAAGCCTGTCAATTTTTACCGTTACATGACCTCGAGATTCTTTTGATGTACATCAAAGGATCAAACTAATCTTCTTGTCTCATCAACAAGGTGGCGCACACCAAGCCTTCAATTTTGCTATGCCATATTTAACTAATTACACGTTAAGCAGATGCACATTTGATGACGGGCACAAATCACTGATGACAGGTTTGGCAGAGGCACAAAGAATGCATCCACTGATAAACCTGTATTTAATTATTTTGATGTTTTTGAGGGAGATAGTATTAACACAATCAGTTGTATACTGGGTTCTGTAACCTTTATCTTAAAGTTTTATGTTGATGAATGTGAACATGATAAACACCAGTGTTGACTATCTCCCTATTTTCGATATCCAGAGGGTTATGCTCACTTTCGCTCTCTACACCCCTGGATATCGAAAATAGGGAGATAGTCAACACTGGTGTTTATCATGTTCACATTCATCAACATAAAACTTTAAGGTAAAGGATACAGAACCCAGTATACAACTGTCGCCCTCAAAAACATCAAAATAATTAAATACAGGTTATCAGTGGATGCATTCTTTGTGCCTCTGCCAAACCTGTCATCAGTGATTTGTGCCCGTCATCAAATGTGTATTATCTAACCTTTGACCTTGAGGTGACGGTCACACTGACCAAATAACAGAGTACTTGAGGTGATGGTCACACTGACCAAATAACAGAGTACTTACTGCACACTTCCTCAGGATGATGCAGGTATACTTCAAGTTTCGTGAAGATATATTTTACAGTTTAAAAGTAATGGCCAAAATACTGTTATATATATAAGAAACTGTGCTCATACATATTCAATATGTCTTTCCCTTCATTTGAAGGCAAAACATAATAACATTGTCAGTATTAAGTTATGGTAAAGCTACTTAAATCAAGTATATTTTTACAAATACATAAAGCATGTGGGCAAAACCTGGAACAAACTGGACTGAGGTTTTCCATTTACCAGTATAGGAATATTGAGGGGGAAAAAAATCAGGAAATAAATACTGGCAGTTACTCTGATATTTACAACTTCTGTTCAGGAATGTTTTGTAATCAGACCATCTAAAGGTACTACATTTGTAGTACGTAGATTAAAGGATTGTTTTTGGGTGGTCGGGTGGTGCAGTGGATAGTGCACTTGACTTTCACTAAGGCGGCCGGGGTTCCATTCCCCGATCGGACGTGAAAAGGTTTAGGGTCACCTGCCCGACCACGTGGGGTTTTCACCGGGTACATGTACTCCGGTTTCCTCCCACACTAAGACCCCACACGCGCTTACATACAGGCCAACAAGAGTGATTAATATAAGTTGCAATAACTTGTTTCATAATTGTTGTAAAATAAATAAAGTTTATTATTATTGTTTTTTTAAAATTTGCATAGATAGAAAAAAGATAGTTTTTCAACAGTTATCAGAGGTACAGAAGATGTTTCACTTTGAATACAAAATCAAAGTTAGATTTCTTCAGATAACAAATCCTTGAATTTATATTTCAGAGACTTAGTTTGATTTAAATAGGTAGAAAATCAATACAGTTAAAGAAACACCTTTTAGACAACATTTTAGCATTGCTCATGCATCATTAAAGATAATATTTGGAGTGTTCTGAGACTTATTGTAAAAACGGCAGTCTACGCATTGCAAAAACCAACACTGATATAGTAAATGAAATATAAGCTAAACTTTTAACCTTTCACCCCTTGGTAACTTAATTAAGTAGACTCTACCATACATTGATCTGGATGAGTTCATTATGGTCTATAGTGGTGAAAAGGGTTATAGCAAACACAAAAACACAGGAATCATAATGTTTTGTGAAACTAATAACTCTGTGGGTATATTTACCCAAAAACAATATATTTTATCAAATACATGTTCGTGTCAAGCTGATTCATCTTCTGCCCATTTTTCCAGTCTCTGTCGAAAGGGTTAATCTATTTTTTTGAAAAATGAAGAATTCGGTAGATCTGTAGAGGCATGGATTTGGAAGACATTTTGTACAGTAAGTTTCTAGAAGGTGCTTTACATGCATTTTTATGACTTGTCCAAAGATTAAGGACGGGACACAGGGATTTTGATCTGAAAATGAACTTCCCTGCAAATTAAAGCTGAAAGAAAATGTTATCAATTCATGTTGTGATTCATGAGAGAGAAAAATATTAAAGATTTATAAAATTATCATCAACATCGTTGGTTGTGTATGATTAAAGCTAGAGAAAATACAACATGGATAACATTGTTATGAGCCTCTTCTGAGCATCAGACACCGGCTCTTCTGTTACCATGACTACAGAAAAACAAAGTGACACCGCAAATATTACCAATGTCTGGTCCTGCAGGTGATTTAAAGCTGCAGAAAGCATTTGAACAAAGTTACAAAATTAATTATATATATATAGCAAATTATATAGAAACAAAATAGCAAAATACAGTGATTAACTCATCACACCATGATCAACTAATTAGTCACATCAACTGACTAAAGATTAACTAGTCACATCAACTGACTAAAGATTAACTAGTCACATCAACTGACTAAAGATTAACTAGTCACATCAACTGACTAAAGATTAACTAGTCACATCAACTGACTAAAGATTAACTAGTCACATCAACTGACTAAAGATTAACTAGTCACATCAACTGACTAAAGATTAACTAGTCACATCAACTGACTAAAGATTAACTAGTCACATCAACTGACTAAAGATTAACTAGTCACATCAACTGACTAAAGATTAACTAGTCACATAAACCTTTCTTTATCATAAAATAAATGCATTGAAAAAGCGGTGTGGTGTGTTACTGGAGACATCCTCCACCTCAGAATATTGCTGCTGAGGTCTATTGGGGTATGAACCTGAATTGGTCATGAGACAGGTTTTACGTACTGAGAAGTAGTTAAAGTCAAATTTTCCTCAGCTCCATGGAGGATTACACCCCAAAACCTCAGGAAAACATGATTCAATCAAACATTCTGTGCAGTTTTGACATTTTTTTTAACAAAAACATCTATTATAAATAGGAGTACTTCCTGTACTCCGCTGACGTATCCATACACCAACTGGAAAGTTTATGGGAAAATAATCCCCAGATTCTTTGAGCCTAAGTTCAGTAGAAATGTAAATACTTGTATCTAGAACAGCCCTGATATTAAATGCAATACAGTATTTTAGAACGAGATCTAATCAGCATCGTACCCGCGTTTACTCCTATGTGTCACCAAGCAAGCATTCAAAGTCTTGGTGAGAAAATCTTTGGATGGGAGATTCAAAAAAAAAAATCAAATCATTTTATGTTACTGGGTTTTCGTCAATATTGAAGTACATGGATATTTAACTGTGTGAAGACTACATAATCCAGCCACCTTCATTAAACCCAGCAAACAGTGGCTGAATAGCGTAACAAATTTGAAAATAGTAATTAAGTTTGTTATTTAAGGAATATTTCCATTTAAATGTAATATCTATTCTTTTTGCAATGTTATCCTGGTAAGGAATTATATATTTTTTTATTTCAAAATATTTTCTACACAAACACAACTAGAGATCTAAGAGCCATCTTGTCACCCACTAGTCTATTTGTAAGATCTTTATTAGTTCTGTGTAATTTCAATCACTTCTATTCTTTACTCTTATCTATTGGATTGATAGTCTTGTCACCAGAAAATAAATCTTGTGGTAACTTTTGATTTAAACTTTACACAACTAGCTTTGACAGTTGTCGTTTCAGAGTTAGCTTGTCATTTGACCTTTTAACTAAAAAAGTATGTGTAAAGTAGGTGTAAAGTATGTGTAAAGTATGTGTAAAGCAAGTGTAAAGTAGGTGTAAAGCAAGTGTAAAGTAGGTGTAAAGTTAGTGTAAAGAAGGTGTAAAGTATGTGTAAAGTATGTGTAAAGTAAGTGTAAAGTATGTGTAAAGTAGGAGTAAAGTAGGTGTAAAGTATGTGTAAAGTAGGAGTAAAGTAGGTGTAAAGTATGTGTAAAGTAAGTGTAAAGTATGTGTAAAGTATGTGTAAAGCAAGTGTAAAGTAGGTGTAAAGTAGGTGTAAAGAATGTGTAAAGCAAGTGTAAAGTAGGTGTAAAGTACGTGTAAAGAAGGTGTAAAGTATGTGTAAAGCAGGGGTAAAGTAGGGGTAAAGTATGTGTAAAGTAAGTGTAATGTAGGTGTAAAGTATGTGTAAAGTAGGTGTAGATAAGTGTAAAGTAAGTGTAAAGAAGGTGTAAAATAAGTGTAAAGTAGGTGTAAAGTAGTTGTAAAATAAGTGTAAAGTAGGTGTAAAGTAAGTGTAAAATAAGTGTAAAGTAGGTGTAAAGTAGGTGTAAAATAAGTGTAAAGTAGGTATAAAGTAGGTGTAAAGTAGGTGAAAAGTAGGTGTAAAGTAGGTGTAAAGTAGGTGAAAAGTAGGTGTAAAGTAGGTGTAAAGTAGGTGAAAAGTAAGTGTAAAGAAGGTGTAAAGTAGGTGGAAAGTATGCGTAAAGTAAGTGTAAAGTAGGTGTAAAGTATGTGTAGAGTAAGTGTAAAGTAGGTGTAAAGTATGTGGAAAGTAGGTGTAAATAAGTGTAAAGTAAGTGTAAAGTAGGAGTAAAGAATGTGTAAAGTAGGTGTAAATAAGGGTAAAGTAAGTGTAAAGAAGGTGTAAAGTAAGTGTAAAGTAGGTGTAAATAAGTGTAAAGTAAGTGTAAAGAAGGTGTAAAATAAGTGTAAAGTAGGTGTAAAGTAAGTGTAAAGTAAGTGTAAAGTAGGTGTAAATAAGTGTAAAGGAAGTGTAAAGAAGGTGTAAAGTAGGTGTAAAATAAGTATAAAGTAGGTGTAAAGTAAGTGTAAAGTAAGTGTAAAGAAGGTGTAAAATAAGTGTAAAGTAGGTGTAAAGTAGTTGTAAAATAAGTGTAAAGTAGGTGTAAAGTAAGTGTAAAGTATGTGTAAATTATGTGTAAAGTAGGTGTAAATAAGTGTAAAGGAAGTGTAAAGAAGGTGTAAAGTAGGTGTAAGTAGGTGTAAAGCAAGTGTAAAGTAGGTGTAAAGCAAGTGTAAAGTAGGTGTAAAGTACGTGTAAAGAAGGTGTAAAGTATGTGTAAAGTAAGTGAAAAGAAGGGGTAAAGTATGTGTAAAGCAAGTGTAAAGTATGTGTAAAGCAAGTGTAAAGCAGGTGTACATAAGTGTAAAGTAGGTGTAAAATAAGTGTAAAGTAGGTGTGAAGTAAGTGTAAAGCAAGTGTAAAGAAGGTGTATAGTAGGTGTAAAATAAGTGTAAAGTAGGTGTAAAGTAGGTGTAAAGTAGGTGTAAAATAAGTGTAAAGTAGGTGTAAAGTAGGTGTAAAGAATGTGTAAAGTAGGTGTAAATAAGTGTAAAGTAAATGTAAAGAAGGTGTAAAGTAGGTGTAAAGTATGTGGAAAGTAGGTGTAAATAAGTGTAAAGTAAGTGTAAAGAAGGTGTAAAATAAGTGTAAAGTAGGTGTAAAGTAAGTGTAAAATAAGTGTAAAGTAGGTGTAAAGTAAGTGTAAAGCAAGTGTAAAGAAGGGGTAAAGTAGGGGTAAAGTATGTGTAAAGTAAGTGTAAAGTAGGTGTAAAGTATGTGTAAAGCAAGTGTAAAGTAGGTGTACATAAGTGTAAAGTAGGTGTAAAATAAGTGTAAAGTAGGTGTAAAGTAAGTGTAAAGTAGGTGTAAAGTAAGTGTAAAGCAAGTGTAAAGAAGGTGTAAAGTAGGTGTAAAATAAGTGTAAAGTAGGTGTAAAGTAAGTGTAAAGTAGGTGTAAAGTAAGTGTAAAGTATGTGTAAAGTATGTGTAAAGTAAGTGTAAAGTAAGTGTAAAGTAGGTGTAAAGTAAGTGTGAGAAGTTGAACAAAAAAGACTTCTGTTTTCTGTCAGCCATATTTTACTTCCGATCCAGCAGCTTGACGCTTAAAACCAAACCAAACACGTAAAACTAGCAAATAAGAACTGATGTATACAAGGGGAACCTACATAGGAAATTTCAGAAGGATCTGTCAAGTGCTAATTGAGAAATACTAATAATAAACTTCAATTCTAAAATTTTAAGATGGACCCACGCCTCAGGTTATCGAAAGCCTTGGCTTAGTTCAATACATAATAACAGTCATGATTCTGATTTCTTAACAGATTGGAACCTTGATACAGATGTGACTTTGTGAATACTGTGAAATCATCAATTTTCGTGGGTTTTTTAATTTCGTTGACTTCCTGGGTAATCTTCATCCATGAATTCATAGGTCCATTAAGTAGTTATCGGTACAAGTTTGACATAAAGCAATTCTCGGTTTATGTGGGTACTCGTAATCCAAAAACTCATGTACCCACGAAATTGTGTTTTGGTGGGAAATCACGAAATTGGGTCCCCACGAAAATATCTGAATTCACGTGTTTCAGTATCTACAGCAAATAATATTATGATGCTAGGTTCAGCTAAATCAACATGGCCAATATTCATTTCAATTTAAAACACAACTTCCCATGATGCTTCAGAGTTTTTGGAAATTGTCCATAAATATTTACCAGTATGCCAGACTAAAATTAAAAAAAAAAAAAATGTTGAAAATGAAAAACAAAACATTTTTTACAAGAGATTTTTCTTGCAGTTAATTTTCACTATCAACATAGATTTTGAATACCAGTATATTTTTATACTGATACTATTTAAATTTACCAATATCAAAACGGATGACCTGGTCACCTTAGATAAATGAAAAGGCCGCAGTTTTTACAATACAGGTACAGGTAGTAAATAGTTATCAGCAACAAACTGGATACTGAAAACTGTGCTTATACTGCCAGGTATTTACTCAACTGGCTTTATAAATCACATAAAATACACACAGATGCATTAAACAAGATTCTGTGATATAAAAAAAGGGTTGCTAGCTTGAATCATCATTTAATCACCAAGTTAAAATGATGAATCTACCATTATCTTGGCAAACAATATTATCACAGTTCTCTTGTCAAGAAAATGCCAGAACAGAGTTATCTACCCTTATTTAAGAGACATAAAATGAATCTGTTCCTGCTTGTGGCCGAATTAAGTGCCCTTGTTTGTCTTTCCTAGATGGCACTGTGTTAGTGAGGAGGCAGAGGGTTGGTGACATCGTTCAGCGACAGCTGTGCAAATCCTATTAGAGCTTTATCACAGGGAACCTCGTTTGGACCACAACCAGAATTCTGAAACAGTTTTAATAATTTTAAGATAAAACAAAAAGATGCTGTCATTGATGTCCCCAGCTTGCAGTGGAAGTCATTAAAAACATGAAGCGTAAAAATATAGGTCGAAATCAGCATCCGCAATAAGTAGATCAACCCTAGATAACAATTGATGCAAGTATAATCAACATAGCACTTGTAGTAGGCAAGATATTGATGAGAGCAATTCTTCTTAACCTTACATGACGATAAGAGCAATTCTTCTTAACCAAGTCAATGAAGCGTAAAATATAGGTCAAAATCAGCATCCAGTAGATCAACCCTAGATACCCAGACCCCATTTCTATGTCCCCCGCTCAACGATGTCCCCCGCCAACTCGTTGAGCGGGGGATGCTAACCAATATATACAAATCTCTGAATGCTCTTGATGAACGTATCAACTCAAAATGTTAAAACAAGGCAAGGGTAGAGCCAACGCCGTGGTTTCCTTAATGGTGGAATAATTTGGTCCTTTGCTCCTCGTCTGGATACCCGAAATGTTGATATGATTGCAAACAAGCAAACCTGAACGGCTCCTATCTAATTCTTCTCACTTCGGTGTAAAATAGTCTGAGCATCATTACTCTACACATATTAGTCATAATGGATCTTTTTTGGAAGAATTTATATCTCTACACCTTATGAATCTTTACTGGAAGATTTTAATTTATTTAAATGATCTAACCCTCAAAGTTTGCCTTTCATTAAGATCCAACATCTTACATCACTTTACACCATTATTAAGCTACAGGCCAAATACAATGACCCTAGGAATCTTGGTTATTGAGAAGAAGTCATTTTAAGATTTTAACACATTTTACACCTGTTACCTTGAAAGTGGGTTAAGTCATTTATTTGGAAGTCCTTCATCCCAGCATGCTTCTGACCAAATATCACCAGCCTAGGACTCTTGGCTTTAGCACATTTGACCCCTGTTACCTTGAAACAGGGTCAAACTCAAAGCCGTTTATTTGAACAAAATTGATAGTCCTTCATCCCAGCGTGCTACTGGCCAAATATCATCTACATAGAAATCTGAACATCCCCGCCCTTTTACTTGCTTATTTATTACGCATTTGGATTTCATCTCTTACTTTTATCTTCTACTTTTGAAACAACAATTATAATTTATCAACACACATGTCCCGTTCACTAAACATACATATCTGGTGTCCCACTACAGGCAAAACACATCTTATTAAACATACACGTCGGAAGCAATAAAGGACTAGAGGTGTTAAGGGTCATTTCCGGCCTCATTGGGAATTTAGAATTAGGTTTTTATATATTCGTAACCTTGGATAAATGAAGTACGGAAATATGATATTTCAAATTCATCCGACAACTGGTAAAAGAGATATGGCATAACATAGAGTCATAAAAGTGCATATTTTTCATTATCATGACTATCTATTGTACTCTATTAACATTGAAAATTGGTCCTTTTGAAGTAAATCAAATAAACACTGATTATTTTGGAAAGCCTCCTCAAACAGCAACCAACTAAATATTTGGCTCGCTTAAGCTTTGTCATACCATACTCCCATAACATGAGAGGCCGCTGGTCGGCGTTTTTTTCTATCGGATATGATTTTGCCGACTGCGACCTCTCATTTCAGAAGCACTAATTCTTTGATGCAGTTTCCTCCCGAAATCCGGACGGAACAAAATCGTCTTGAAAAACTCACTTTAGTGGTTGACAGTTCATGACAACGATGTCTACTCCCGGTTTATATAATATAGATCTCATATGTATGTCACGGACACAAATATATAGTATATTACGGAATAGAACACTCAAAATACATGTCCATGTCGTTGTAGCACATCTCTGACCTTCATTTAAAACATGGCTTCCTGTACTAATACAAAATAGCAGAGGGGATTTCAAACGGAACGAAATGATACGGAGTTTGTTTGTATTCCACGTTTGAAACATTACATGTAATCCATTTTTTGTATTAACCGGAAAAATCATTGCAAATGCTGTCTGCTTCGCTTCGAATGAGGAAAAACTCATTATTTATGTCTTTGACACGAAGTTATTCTCATTTAATCATGGATTTATGGAAAGGAATATTTATTTGACCCTTTTGACCATTTAAATGTATGTTAAAACGATATACTCTTTCTTAATCTGAACTTTGAAAATGTGATCGTCAGCATCGGGAAAATCAGCTATGGGAAGTTAGAGGTTACGCGGCGCCTGTCAAAAGTTTTTCGCCGTGTTAAACCTCTAACATTGTTGGAGTGTGTCATACCAGTGTTCATTCGTAGAAAGGACTATTTGGTTGTCACATGTAGAGGCTTCAATTCTGCATGCTAACTGTCCAAAAACACCCTATTTTGGCTATTTATGCATAGCAATGCAAATCTGTTGCTATAATAGGGCCAAATGAAGAAATCTGCACCAGGAAATTTACCAATATGATGTTAATAAAAGAAATTGGTTAATTAATTAAAGTTGAAATTTTTACTTTTTATGAGGCAGGAAAAGACACATAACATCTTAAGTCCTTTTATATTTCTTGTGCTATATATAGGTGCCGTATATTTTTAAACTGAACTTACCAAAGCAAAAGTCACCGATTTTACATCAGGGTAGTCTTGTATTTTCTGAAGATTAGCAGCAACTAGAAACATAAATGCAGTGTTACAGTGTTTAGTATATAGGTTTTCCTTATTGTTACACAAATAAGTTCCGTCTCTTTTCTATCTTATATGGATTACAAAGCAGAACTGAATATATATTTGGTGAAGAGTTAACTCCCCTTTGGGTCTGAAGTCTTCTTAACCCTTTCACCAGTGTAGACCATATTGGACCCACCCATATCAATGCATGGTAGAGTCTACTAAAGTTAAATAGGGGTGAAAGGGCTAATATAAAACATAGGCATAAAACATAGAATATTTAAAAATGGAAAGTTTGTTACAGACAATGTAAAGAAAGTATGTATTTTGTAAAAAGTAGAAAACATACACATAATACACAAACCTGTTGTTACCTGTATACCACAGAAATGTGACACCTACCCACAATCATGTCCTTTCCGTTAACCAATCCAGCTTCTACCATCTCATGTGACACGCTATCAGCTGTATCTGTCAGGTCATATTAAACACACAGCTTAATTGTCAATCATTAATATTTTTCACGTTTGATTTCAACATAAAATCACATTAATTGATTGAGAACTGACACATACAAACAAGGCCTGATACTCTACTAAGGGTCCAGGTATTTCACCCTAGTCCAAGGCACCCAACAAGGCCTGATACTCTACTAAGGGTCCAGGTATTTCACCTTAGTGCAGGGCACCCAACAAGGCCTGATACTCTACTAAGGGTCCAGGTATTTCACCCTAGTCCAAGGCACCCAACAAGGCCGTTTTCGTTTAAACCGGTCGGACCACAGTTGTTCATTGCTTTAAATAAGGTCGGACCTAGTAATCTGATGCTGCTTTCAGGCGAGCCTTGACAAAGCCTTGCAAGGCCTGCATAAACATTTGCAGGTCCGCCAGGATTTATACCCGTAATTGTTACATTTATAAACGGTCAAACCGGTTGTTTTGCATAAACGAACAGGCCCCAATATAATTTAATTTCACATTCTCAATTTCAAATTTAATGTTTGTTATCATTTTCAAACTGTTATATCTCTGCATGATCAAATTGACTGAATTGAATTATGCTGCTATAATATAACGTCTGAAAGCTAATTTCAATCTAGCTGTTCACTATGAAAAACAATGGACTGAATGTGTTCAGTGCCCTGTTTCAGTCTGGTGACATGTACTGGTAATTATTGGTAACAATTTGTATAATAACATGTATACAGGTGAAGCGGAAAAAGGTTGATCATCGGCCACCAGGTAGCTCAATTGGCAGAGGGTCAATTTTGAGTTTGGTTGGTTTCGGGTTCGAACCCGGGTCTGGCCGTGCATTTTTTCATCTCCTGTTACAGTGGTGCCTGTGACCAACCCTTGTTTCAAGCATTTGAAGTATGCTTGTCAAGGCCAACCTTTTGTTTGAGGGCCTTTTCAAGGCCTGTACAAACCCTTTAAATTATACTGACCTTGACCAGAAGTGAAATCAAACTTGATGTCATTCAGCTCTCGTTTATCATTCCTGTAAAACAATTTTAAAATTTCAAAAAGTTATTTTTTCTCTTCTTTTATTAGCTAGGACACTTTCCACCTGACAGTCAATATTTACAATGTACTGAATTATTACTGAGCTCCTTGAAGCTAAAAACGAAATGCATGCAAAACTAGGGGACTCAAAACAGGAAGACTTAAATAATGATTTGAAAAAAAACCTGTCTTAGATAAAGCTATTACCAACTTCAACAGTCATATTCAAAATGTCTGCCTAGTGGCCATCTTGTTTTTCCATCAATCTCAAAATTGACATGCATAACTAAGAACAAAGAGGAAATTACATAAGAAATATAAAAAAAACTGTCAAGCACTTCTTGCATTTTTCCAGAGCACTTAATTTCATCCCCTATTTTTGTGTGGTTCATATTTCACTTACCTTAATCTAAGCACTAAGTTGACAGACAGACAGTCTACTACATAAGAATATTGTTATATAACTTACCTTAATCTAAGCACTACGTTGACAGACTACTATATAAGAATATTGTTACAGACCTTACTATAATCTAAGCACTAAGTTCACAGACAGACAGTCAACTACATAAGAATATTGTTATATAACTTACCTTAATCTAAGCACTAAGTTGAGAGCTGTTGACTGTGAAGGTGCATCTCCCTATAAAAACAAATTGCTAAGTTATTCAAGCTAGACATTTTGTCAAAAAGAAAAAAATAGTTACCACATTATTTCAAGATCTAAATTAAAGTGTTCACAGTTAGAAGAAGACCTACAAATGATGATGGCCCTGCCCTTCTCCCCCATAGGGGCAACATCAAAATTCACCGAACAATATCTTGGTCTTAAGGATCCTTGTTCCACTGAACTGTGTTTTATTCATATATACAGTAACCTCCCTTTAGTTTCTATTCGGATATAGATCTGGCGCAATTTTGGCACGGCCACTTCCATTCACCAGGCAGCTCAATTGGTTAGAGCGATAGTATACCATTCTTAAGTTTGAATCACAGCTTAGCACCCGCTGTATCTTTTTCCACCCAGAACACTGTCGTTGATTACATTTTGTTTTTTTTATCTTCATAATTTTTCCATAACAGTCCTGCAAGGTATGGTGTTTTTTTTCCAAAAGGGTTTTATATCAAAAGTTATAGTCATGTTGCCAAAAATGATTCTAATGTATCTTTACAGTTTAGGGCAGTGGGACAGGGATCCTTAATGGTAGGTAGATAGAAGGCAGACAACAGATGCCACACAATGTCTACCCATCACAAGTGTATGAAGCTTATTAACTCATTCACCCCTGAAATTTCATAATGAACTATTCCAACTTCAAATGTGTCTTCAGGGTTGAATGAGTTAACTTATCAATATGCTACTCCACGGTATACTTACCCCTGAACTAGAGGCCGAGGGAGTAGGCGTCACAGGTGTAGGAGCACTTGTAGCAATTGATTGAGTGCTACTAGATGGCGCCGGTGTTTCCTCAGTAACAGGGGCGATCTCTGTCTGAGAGGGGGACTTGCCAACTACCCCAGGAGAGGGTTCAGGTGGCACTGCAAGCTGTGGGGCCGCATTCACCTGGAAAACAAGTAATGTTGGTAACCAATTTCTGTTTTATTTAAACAACTAAATAAATTTTCTTCCTGAAAATAAAACTGATATTACATGTACAGATAATAAAGCATGTCAACAACATACTTGGGAGAATTTGGTTAATCATCAGAAGTTGTTCTAATATTTCAACATATTTGACCCCTGTGACCTTAAATATAGGCAAAGGTCATTCATTTGAACAAACATAGTAGCCCTTTGTCCAAGCATACTACTGGCCAAATAGCAACATCCTAGGCCTCTTGGTTATTAAGAAAAAAGTTGTTTAAAAAGTTTTTACATATTTGACCCCCGTGACCTTGAATATGGACGAAGGTCATTCATTTGAACAAACTTGGTTGTGCTTCATACTGGCATTTTATGGGCCAAATATCATCCTGGGCCTTCTGGTTATTCAGAAGAAGTTGTTTAAAGATTTTAACATATTTTACCCCTGTGACCTTGAAAATGGGCAAAGGTCAATCCTTTGAACAAACTTGGTAGCCTTTATCCCAGCATGCTACTGGCCAAATATCATCATCCTGGTCCTCTTGGTTATTCAGTTTTTTTAAAGCAAAAAATTGACGACAGACGACGGACGGGCCAGGTGAGCTAATAATATTATATATGTTCGTTTAATACAAAACGGTAGATAAAATCAAAACCAACACTGAGAATATATTCTGCACTTTAACCAAGTAGCCGAATGTGACTGTTTAATTCACAGTCAATTCATCTTCAAAGTGGACATTTCAAGTATATTTTTTTTAGGCTAAATATTATTTTTCTACACAATATGGATCTATATTCATATATTGCATTTCCTTACCCTTTCTTGATCATTTTTAGAAGATATTTAACTTACTTTACTCATATGACCTTGAATAGAGGTCAAGGTCATTTGTCATTTGTATCCTGTGACCTGGAAAGTGGGTCAAGCTGAACAAACTAGGTAGGACTGTATCCTATCATGCTATTGGCTAAATATATTGCCAAAGGTTCTTGATTTGTTAAAACAATTGACCCCTTTGATCTATTTGACCTTTAAAGCCAATGTTTCTGTATTGCTAGCCTGGTATTCAGTTATATAACATTTAAATTCCTATAACAAATTTAACAGATCTTCACCCAAGCATGCTTCAGGCCAAAATTCATCACCCTTGGCCTGCTCTTAGTTATTTAGATATCCATTAAAGTAAGAAGTTGATGCCAAACAGACGGATGAACGATGGACATAGTATAAGCTCACTTGGCCCTCCATGCCAGTTGAGCTCAGTGGGGTTATTTTGCCTAGTTTTACAGCTGACTACAGGCTGCTTCTCCAGACTAAAATGTGCTTTATTTTACCAAAATGAAGAAAAATCAGGAATATCAAATTCAATAACAAGAATAATGCTATATTTTCCAAATTCATGTTACATACAGGCTGTTGTTAAATTTAGACTGAAGAATCATTGGAGCTATGAGACTTGAAAACATGTTGAACAAATGTGACAAAACCACCATACATTACCTCGTTTTCGACTGCTTTCTTAATGCGACGCTTCTGAAAAAGGAAATAGTCTATTAATACACGATTTACTGATGTGCTTACCTCTTAGAATAAATTAAAAAAACACTTTATTGCCAAAGAAGATGTATAACTTCTCCCCCTGTAATTGGATATGTTGACCATTAATGTAACGACACACAATTTATTGATGTGCTTACCTCTGGCAATAAAATGGGTTTTTAATTTGTGCAAATAATCAAGCTTGTACACTTTTTTACAGCCAACTTGTATAGCACTTACTTCTTACACACGTCTTGTTGTCTTGGAAATCTTCAGTGTTTACAAATTACATTCAATTTTTCACAGAACATCTTAACTGATTAAATATCACCTAAAAACGAAGAGTGTGTGCCCTCACTGTCACTAAACATTTTTTTACATCAATTTTCAGACCGAGGCTCTCTCCTAAAGTTGAGAATGCTTATTTTTCTCCCACATCAAATACAAGAGGTAATTTCATGAAATGCAAATGTGGATTTCAAAACTTCCAGCAGATAGGGATTTATCTTCTGTGATATGCTATTGTGGACGTGACGTCATTGCATTGTGGACGTGACGTCATTGCATTGTTATGAAAGGGGAATCCCCCGTCTCTACCCTAAGGTGAGAAAGCAATATCTTTTCCTGACTGGAAGTGTTGATATTTCTGTCTAATGGGGGAGATTGAAATATTACCCTTTCTGCAATGGCAGCAATGCCTTCCGCTGAATTCTCATCGAAGTCGTCATCGGACCACTCCCAATCTCCATCCTCGGTCTTGTGTAGCCGCCCACTGGACCCGGGAACACGCTTAACCTGTAAGGAAGGAATGACATACACAGCTGCATAAAAAACCCAGGAAAATACCAGAAAGAATTTCCTGCAGCCATGAAACTCCACATGAAAGGTTGTCACTAAAATGTTCAAGTAACAACTAAAATGTTTGCTAACCTCATCAGCCTGGACTTAATTATGTTGGCAAGCTCACGCTGTAGGCTCAATAAGAAGTGGAGATAGATCTTTATGACTTAAAACATTATTGCCAGTTCTGGGTGAAAATTTAGAATAATAGTCAGCGCAAGTGTTGGGAGATTTCCATGTCTAAACGAGAGAAGCAGGGGATTACTGCTTTGTTGCTCTGGGAAACCTTCGGGTGGAAAATTGGGAAACATCACATTGATGTGTATCAGTAGCTTTGTCATGATCAATGAAAAGTATAACAGACCATCACTTGCCAAAAAGACAGACTGCCAGACAAAAAGAAAAAAGAGAAATACACAGAATGTAATACAATAAACCCATTTAACATGGACTTCACACTAGTATACATTGTATAATGTGTTGTTACCTTTTGCGGTTTAACGGAGGGACCCTCTGACAGTAGAGTCTTGGCAAGGAAAACCTTGTCCTGAAATATAAACACATTAAACATAAGTTTACGATTTAGCCTCCGGTGACCTTAAAAGTATACAGATGAATGAGAGTTATTTGTTTGTGTCCTATTATCAGTTATGGTTATTTAAGGACGTGCCAGGTTTTGGTGGTGGAGGAATGCCGGAGTTCTCTTGAGAAAAACCATTGACCTACGTCCAGTACCTGGCAACTGCCCCATGTAGGTCTCGACCACCGACCAAGTGGTGGAGGGCTAGTGGTAGCAGAATGTCAGACGCCTTAACCACTTGGCCACCGCGGCCCTCTGCATGAGAGACCATGCATGGTCATCGGTCATTACTTAAGTATACAATCTAGGGATCAGGGATCTTAGTTTTTAATCAGTCCCAAAATTCAATACACACAATTACAAATCATGGGGAACCTACCTGTGAAATTTGAGAAAATCTGTCAAGTACCTCTTGAGAAATTGAAATAACAAACTTAAAATGTCAAAATCAAAGATGGCTGCCTGTCAGCCATTTCATTTTCCCAAACAGTCTCAAATTCAATACATGTATGTTTAACTACAGACCATGGGTAACCTTAAGATGAAAATTGAGAAAGATCCCCCCAGGACCTCTGCCAAAAAGCATTACCAAACTCTCCACATAAAAGATCAAGTTGACTTTTTTGGTTTAACGATCAGTCACAAAATTCAATGTGTACAACTACAAAGCCCTTGGGAACCTAGCTGTTGAATTTAAGAAAGATCCTTCCTGCATTTTCTGTGAAATAGCTTAAGGACAGACAAATGACAGATGACCGACACAACAAACCAAGACATACTTGCCAACTTTTTTTGATTTCCTTGGGGGAGATTTGGCATGCTCAAAATTAAAACTTGAATAAAATGAGTTTATGCACCGTTCCACCTAGGGACAAAACAACCCTTTAAAATGACATAATCTGACTTCAGATGAAATCATTAGATCTTGGGATATAGGAACAGTTAAGCAAATTCACTTGTTGAAAATACTTATTTTAAGGGTCACAAAATGGGGAGTGTCCCTCCTAAACGGGGAGGGTTGGCAAGTATGCCAAGGACAAAGGAGTGATTTGATTGGCTCACCATCTGATGATGGTGGTGAGTTAAAAGGAAGGATGGCCACTGTGTTTAAATAGTACGTTCATTAGTGTCATACTTGTAATATAATTGATCAGAATAAAAAATGTCTTACTTTGGCTTTTTTGAAGAATTCTGATTTAAGAAGTTGCTTGGCAGTAGGTCTGAAATGAAGATACAGTGTGTTAAAAAAAATCTGTATGTCTTTCACAGCATACAAGTAAATTACAATGTGCAGAGCTTTTTACCAGTGTCTATCCTTGTAAAACCCTTAAGCTTTATATTTTAAAACATGAAGTCCACGGACATTATCGACCACCTGATGTTGCTGATTAAATTTGTTACTTAAAAATATCAACACTTATTATTTTTTCATATTATACCTGACAAGTAATTGGACAGGAGTGCATCACGTGTCCACCGATAAAAACTGATATTGACTTGGAGCGCGTGATTTTTGTTGAAGGTATTTCTAAACATAGAATAATGACGTGTCTCCAAACGTACGTATCGTCCCGCTTCCGTAGATTTTTGCTGTGATTTTTTTTTCAGATTGCTAACATTACTATTTTGAAAATAATAAAACAATTGTAGCCTTTGACTTTGGTCGATTCCTGGATTTATTGACCCGAGAAAAGATATATTGACCTTAGACTGCCTCCTCTGTTGATATATCTTTTTTCGGGTCGATAAATCCAGGTATCGACCTCAGCCAAAGGCTATAATTGAATGATATAAAGGTTATCAAACATTACTGGTCAAATTCCTTATCAATATGGCATACGTTAATTTGCACACTAATAACAATAACAAGTTACACCAAAAGTCACAGGTAAAATTGTTCAAATGAAGTGTTTGCATTATAATGTCCTGTCTACGTGTTTTTTAGACACTTTTTGTGTCAAAGTTTACCTTTTAGCTGGGTTTTTAAAAACATTTTGGTGTCAACTTTATGTTTTCTCAGTATCTTTTTTGAGACACTTTGTGTGTCAATTTCTACCTTTTCTCAGGATCTTTTTTGAGACACTCTGCTACCATTTTGCGAAAGACTTTGCTGTAGGACTTGTACTGGTCCTTGTCATCAGCTGACGTGTCCAAGGTTGGTGGGTCGTTCTGCAGCGTCAGCATCAGGACCTAAACAAAAATATGAAAGCACACATAGAATAATTTATCCTTTAGAATGGCAGTTTTGTAGCTTTTTAATGTATTCCATCATGCTGTTTAAACTGAAACATTTCTGATTTCTATCTTCTGCAGTGTTTACACTGACAACTCATTTTTGTTGATCAGATTGTTGTGACTGGCTGGAAACATTAGCCAGTTATTATGTACATATGTTTTTGTACTTTTTACCAGTTTAACAAGGACAAGTGAGAATGTAAATACTCAAGTTCCTGTTAAACATAAATCCTTTTAGATCAAACATCATACATAGTCGTTACAGAGAACAAAAGGCACAATGGCATTCCATGCTGTCATATTTAAAGTATGCCAAAAATAACTTTATTAAACAAACTTAACAGCCCTCTACTCAAGCATGCAACAGGATAAACAATTAACCTAGACCTCTTAATTATTAAGAGGAAGTTGTTTAAATGTTTGTATGCATTTGACCCTGTGACTTTGAAAAGTGAGTCAAGGCCATATCTTGGAACAAACTTGATAGCCCTCCATTCCTACATGGTACTGGCCAAAAATAATCACCCTTTGCCTCAGCAAAGTTGTTTAGAGGTTTAAACCAATATGATCTTTGTGACCTTGAAGTGAGCTGAGGCCCTTTATTTGAATTAACTCATGATCAATAGCCCTTCATTCAAGCATTCTAGTGTCAAAATATCATGCATGACCGCAGGCCTCTTGGTTCTGGAAAGGAAGTCATTTTAAAGTTTTAATTTGACCCAGTAATCTTGAAAAGTGGCCTCTATTGACCTTGTTATAGACCAAATACCATGCATGACCTTTGGCCATTTGGTTCTTGAATACAACTCAATTTTAGGCATCAAAAGATTGATGCTTTTAAGACAAAGGCCCATAAAATACATTACCTGGTATGTAGGTAGAAGTACACCCAATTGTCTCTGGTTTAACCCACATTGACATCACTTAATCACTATCCTTGAACGTTCTAGACACTTTTAAATTTTGCTCTAGTCTACCCAACTATACAAATGGATGATGTCAAGCAGGGAAGTTATTCTGTCAACGACTGGTGTCCTTCCAGAAGGAGACAATGATGTTCAGTCGCTTCGATTCGTACCATTGTAAATGGCAAGTTTATGTCAAACTGAGAAGATTACAGGAACCAGAAGGCTGATATGACTTGAACCCAACTTTATAAACAGAAGTCTATTCCTCTTACCTTCATAGGAGGGTACTTGTGGTAGGGAGCTGTTCCTATAGCCAGCTCTATGGCAGTTATTCCAAAGCTCCAAATGTCTGCCTTGAAGTCGTACCCCGTCACCTAAAACAGTCAAATCATCTCAATAACCATTGATTATTCCATGTGTGTCAGTACGGTAGTAAATTCCTCGTCTCTCTTGTTACATACATGGTACATGTATAAGATTGCATTTCAGTGAAACCAGCAATTTTGTTGCCAAAAACAAATTCAACAGTTTTTTTTTTTTACATTATGTATAACACTAAAACATGATGTTCGTCTGTAACAGGGTGTGTTTGTTGTGTGTTTCTTGTCCTTGAAAAGTACCTTATCATTTGTCTTATTATTCTGACATTTGGGCAGGTGAGCTAAAAAAAGTGACCAGAAGACATGCAGCGGCTGATTGTATTACTGTATAGCGCTTTTAATTCGCAGGGTCAATATTTTGCGGTTTCGTATTCAGTACATATTCGCGGGGTTTTAATTTTGCCCCATGTGATGTGCAAAGTATTTTGAGTGTCATCATTTAGGGGTTAAACCTCGAAATACAGGTAAACCATTTGAAAACACTGATCCTGACTTCACTCGAAAGAAAATCAAATGTGTATGTAATTTTGTAGGAGTAAACTGTAATCAATTAATCAACTACTGAGTACACATAGATATGTTGTGTCCACTTATATGTAAGTGTTGTTTTTACATGGACTGCCCAGTTGTCCGGTGGTAATCTGATTTGAGTTCATTTAAGCTTGCATAACAGCGTTGGGTTATAAGTATTTTCAACATGTTGTGATAAGGTCCATAAAAGTAGTTAACATTTTCGATAATTTCGCTGGTGTTTAGAATTTGCGGATATTAGTCAAAGTGCGAATATAGCGAAATTAAAAAACTCCGCGAAATATAACCGCTATAAAGTAGGGCCAGGTGATTTAAAGGTTGACGTACTTGATCACATTTCCCCCCAATTGCCCTAAAATGCTGCTGCTATTTTACTAAATCAAGAGACACAGGATGTCGTAAAAAAGGTACAAACAAACACTGTTGTTAACCAACTAAACAAAATTGAAGCCTGTGTACTTTAAGGATAGAATCCTGTTTTGTTGAGGTTTCCCGATAAACCTCAATAGGTCTTCAGACAAATTTCCCAGTTCATATTGAACTTGTCTCAATACCCATTAAGGTTTATACCCCAAAAACCTCAACAAAACAGGATTCTATCCTGATATTTACATTCAGTGTGATATTGAACTTGTCTCAATACCCATTAAGGTTTATACCCCAAAAACCTCAACAAAACAGGATTCTATCCTGATATTTACATTCAGTGTGATATTGAACTTGTCTCAATACCCATTAAGGTTTATACCCCAAAAACCTCAACAAAACAGGATTCTATCCTGATATTTACATTCAGTGTGATATTGAACTTGTTGGGATAATTTCTAAAATATTGATCTTGTGCAAGTCTAACACCACGGAAGATACAGAAGATTATGATGTCATCATTCACTGTAAGACATCTTTCTGGTATGATGAATATCTTGTTTGCATTGATTACAACGAAAAAACAAATGAAGATGTAAATCAGTTTTTTGAAAACTTCTGACAAAAAAACATCAAATTGAAAACAATTTATTAATAGAACTACTTCCCGCGCTCCGCAGAATAACAGAGTAATCAGGTTGATAATATGCTGATGTATTCATATGCCAACTGGTTCATTAAAAAATAAACTTTGAAATGTTTAGAAGGTATGTTGAGTCCAAGTTCAGTAGAAATGCAAATATTACATCATAAATGAATTAGACCTGAAATACAACCTGAAGCCTCTAACCCTTTGACTAAACAACACAGAGAATTACCTGTAGCCTCTAACCCTTTGACTAAACAACACGGAGAATTACCTGTAGCCTCTAACCCTTTGACTAAACAACACGGAGAATTACCTGTTCCATGACCTCAGGAGCCATCCAACATGGCGTCCCTACAAAGGTGTGTCGGACAGAATCACGTGTCATATCCTTTCCTGTAGCCAGCCAGGCACTCACACCAAAGTCTGGAATCAACCAGAAGGCATTTCTTTGTTATTATATGTAGATCAATATTTGAATGGTGTCATTCGAGAAAATGCTTCTTGTGGTGGTATATTTTTTTATCAAAACTCCATACTGCTGTATTGGAAATTGTTTTTCTAAAAGTGAGGTTATTATTTAACGCATTCACTAGCATAATACTTAATGTGTAACAGTCAGAACACACATTTACAATTTGAGAAAGATCCATGAAGTATTTCTTGGGAAATAGTGATAACAAACTTGAACTGGCAAAGTCCAAGATGGCAACCTGGCAGTCACCTATCTTTCAAATCAGTCTCAAAATGAAACATGCACAAATAAAGACCACAATGACCTACATATGAAACATGAGAAAGATTTGTCAAGTACATTTGAGCAATAGCGACAAAAAATCAGGAATCATAAAAAAATCAAAAATGGCTTCCATGTGGCCATGTTGTTTGAACATGAAATTTGAGAAAGATCCATCCAAAAATCCATTCTGTAGAAACAGCATTAACAAACTTTATCTGTCAAATCCAAAAATGGCTGCCTGGCAGTCATCGTGTTTTTCCAATCTGTCTAAAAATAAAGGAGAACTCTGGACCAAACGAACTTACATATGGAATTTGTGAAAGGTCTGATGATGGCAGGCTAAATATAAATCCTGGATTTATGACGCCAGTATACACTATATTTACATATTTACTTTCACCACACATACAAACATACAGATGAAATTCCATGTTATACATAATGAGTTTGTTTAAATATAACAGAATAAGGAGAAGTTTATGACAAAGTAAATCCACGTATAACGTGTGAATTATTTGGATAGTTTTGATAGTAGTTACCTGCAACATAGACGGAACCATCTTGTCCTAAAAGAATGTTTCCAGCTTTGATATCACGATGAATCTGACCGTTGTTATGGAAATATTCTAGGCCCTTGAGAACTTCCTTAAGAATGGTTGCTATGACAACCTCATCCAGGACCCCATTTTTGCAACCTCCAGATCGCATATGACTTTTAATTATGTCTAACATGGATCCTGTGGGGAAAAAATAATTGCAGATTGTATGCACATTATAAGCTACATACTTTACCTGGGTATGCTCCCCAAATAATAAAAGAGTTTCAAGTTTAAAGACTGAAATACTTAAGAACAGTAATTTGGACTTGTTCAAATCATTCACTTATATATAATTAAGGGAGATAACTCTTACACAAAATTGTAAGAATGTTAGTGTACACTCTTAAACTTAAAAATATTGATTTTTCAAGTTCCTGCCTGAAAAACTTATCCTCAAGGATGTGCATTCATCAGATAAATTACGACCATAGGTTTATTTTCAGAAGGGATTGTTTAAAACATGAGAACATGCTCATATCATACGGAGGCAGAAGCTATTAATATTTGTACTCTGAGCTAAGAGGCCAAATGGACCTGTATGATTCACACCTGTTGATTCCTTGTTTTTGTAATATATCATACTTATAACTTAAATGAGATTTTTCTACCTGAGATTTATGAATGCATCTTTTTAACAAGAGGCCCAACGGGCCTGCATCGCTCACCTGGTATAAATCTCACACTTGTAACCTTAAAAGTGATCTAAAATAAAGCTACAGGCAAAATATCAGTATTTATGATTAAAATTCATTCAAAAGAGCTCGTTTATGCGAACAAAGTCATTATAATGAACAATTTGTATAGCCTTTCATCTCAGGATGCAACTTGCAAAGTATCAACATCCTGGGACGCATGGTTATTCAGAAGAGGTCGTTTAAAGATTTTAAACAAATTTGACCCCTGTGACCTTGAATATAAGTCAAAGTCATTCACTTTAACAAACATAGTAGTCCTTGATCTTAGCATGCTACGGACTAAATATCAACATCCTGAGCCTTTTGGTTATTCAGAACAATTTCTTTAAATATTTTGAACATATTTGCTCCTTGTGACCTTGAATATGATTCAAGGTCATACATTTAAACAAACTTGGTAGCCTTTGATCCAAGTATGCTACTGACTAAATATCATCACCCTGTGCATTTTGGTTATTCAGAAGAAGTTGTTTAATGTTTTTAACAAATTTGACCCCTGTGACCTTGAATATGGGGAAAGGTCATTTATTTGAACAAACTTTGTAGTCCTTTATCTCAGCATGCTACTGGCCAAATATTACCCTGGGCATTTTGGTTATTCAGAAGAAGTTGTTTAAAGTTTTTAACATATTTGACCCCTGTGACCTTGAATATGGGTGAAGGTCATTCATTTGAACATACTTTGTAGCCTTTCATCTCAGCATGCTACTGGCCAAATATCATCACCCTTGGCATTTTGGTTATTCAGAAGAAGTTGTTTAAAGTTTTTAACATATTTGACCCCTGTGACCTTGAAAATGGGTGAAGGTCATTAATTTTAACAAACTTTGTAGCCCTTCATCCCAGTTTGCTTCTGGCCAAATATCATAACCCTAGGCCTTTCGGTTATTAAGAAGAAGTCGTTTAAAGTAAAATATTGACGCCGGACGCCGCGCCACGGCATAAGCTCACTTAGCACTTCGTGCCAGGTGAGCTAATAAAATGTGCAATAAATAAATTAACCAAGTTTACACATGTACCAGTTGTATGAGATATTTCACATGTTCTTTAGTGAGGAACTTTTCTGAAATGGTCCTATACAAATACCAAGTTTAGGTGGCATGAATCATTAATAACATTGAATAAAAAATAAATCGCAAGTATCACAGAAGTTCTTATTTTTAAGTCAGTTGTTTAAAACATCATGTGAAGAATATCTTAAACACTTATATATAGAGAGAAATCTAGTTCAGAAGGGGTGGAATTTATCGCTGGTCCGCAGTCCTCTGGGGGGACAACTAGGTTTTTCAACAAGCTATCCCATTCGGCCAGTAGATATTTTTTTTTTTTTTTTTAAATTTCAACAGGTTGAAAAAATATATTTTAAGCCCAGAATGCACCAAAGAGCTTCTAAATTTAAATTTTTTTGAGGGACATGCCCCCATACCTCCCTATTATGCTTAGAGCCTCCAGCCTTCATTTTCTGGACCAGTGCACTTCAAACAGGACAAGTGAATTTTCATTTCAACTTGACCTTTGGGCCAGGAACCGTTTTTTTTTAATTCCACCCAAGAGTTCCACAGTATAAAGAAACTTGCCTCCGCTACAAAGCATCATAATGACCCAGAGTTCTTCCTTGACAACAAATGATGTGTGGTAACCAACGACATTCTCGTGTTTACACTGGCTCATTGCCTGGATCTCTTTCTGAAAAACGTGAAAGTCAGAAATTTTAAATGACATTCTAATATATATATGCTACATCTGAAATTGTCATCTACCATGAATTATGTCTGAAACAAGTATCGTAGTGGTTGTGTTTCAGACTTGTGTGTACAAAATGGAGCACAAATGTTGTCGAGGACTGCAAATATTTAATAGAGACATTAGTATTCCTTTATCCTGAATTCAAAACCTTAAACTTATTTATTTTCTTTTTACAAATTTGTTTTCAACAGATGTCAAGGGGCCTGAATGGCTGACCTGCTCTTTACTTATTACATGCCTAAAAAAACAACCAAAAAACATAGATTAACTGATCATGAGGACAGACAGATTGAGAAATGTAGCAATGAAGGTTACAGTAACCTAATTTAGTCATACAACAGTCCTGGGCTAATGTCTGAGCCCGATAAAATTTTAGATTTGGATGATTTGAAAATGAAAAACAATATAAGGACACCAGTGCACGTTGATACATTTAGCCATGTACAATATCAGGATCTGATCTTCCCACAACATCATTGCAATATTATTACTATATATACCCAAATGGACATATTTATTCCTTACCAACAACTCCTCTACAGTTGTATTGCATTTTTCCAGATTGATTCGCTTGATGGCACATCTCTCCTGCCTTGGTTTACAGAAGGCTCCCTGTACTACAGCAGTAGCCCCGGCACCTGTTGAACACAGACACACAAAACTCAGTGGCGGATCCAGAAACCTATCTGGGGGGTGGGTTCCAAATTTCCAGGGGGNTCTCAGGCTGGGAGGGTTTCCTGAAGCCACTGATTTACTGTACACGAATGTAACATATCTGACATCCAGCTGTGGAGCCCCTATTTCTTTCCTTCTTCTTCTTTCACATAAGGAACTGATCTCCATTTACGGATAAAAAATATGATGATTTAATTTTGATTCATAAATATTATAAAATTTAAAATAAAGAATACTTGACACCTAAGTATAGGCAAATACTGCACATCAATAGGTAATGGCAGGGGGTCAACATGGTGTCTTTCCATAGTCATCAATTATATATATAACCAACTGTTTTCTGTCACCAAGATCTTCAACCCAAAATTATCATGCTAACTCTTTATGCTCACTTATACCTTTAATTAATATCAGAGTTTGTGGCAGAGGAATGGGTGTCTGTGTTTAACCTTATTAAAAGCTGTCGCGAAATCCATTAATTGTTATAAATTTGATGTTTTCTGAATATGGCATATATGGGATGCAATTGTACTTGATTTGATAAGAAAGTAAATGAAGCTATGTAAAATTGTCAGATGCAGTGTTTAAACATAAATGATGAGATTCTGTGTGAACCACTGTAAAATATAAATACCGTCAGCAAGATGGTGTAGACAGGAAGTTATAACATTATGCATTTTTTTTCTATGCGCGATAATTAAGGCATACTTCTACAACTTCTCAAAACATATCAAATAAACATTTTTGAGTAGTACATTCGCGTAAAAGGATGTTGGTTTTTGGGTATTGCTACACATGATAGGAACAGTAAATCAGTGATGCATCAAGCACTTCGCCATACCTACCGATTTGCTGAGCATGCACATAAATATCTTTAAGCCCCATATACAGAAAATTGCACAAGCCTGCGACTTGCAGAGTTAACGAACGATATTATTGTGCGGTTGTCTGAGCTTAGATAAATACCAATTACGTCCTTTAGCTCGTAATCGTCCTTGTTGTTCGACCAGGGGATTGCATCTGGTTTGCCTTCGGCCATTTTTCTTCTGTTCGGAACTTATTTATGTGTTCTTACAATGAATGGTATAGCCCGAGATGTACCGGAAGTTATCAGTTGACGGAAGGCGGAACTTGATGAAAGCTGCATGTAAAATGAAAGTAGAAAAAATGTGAAAACGTGTTTCGCGAAATCTGAAGATGTTCAAGAAGGCAGGATCGGCGGAGATAATTCGTTCTCATCAAAAGGACGACCTTTATCTTTCCTATCTTCGGAGTTCTATTTCGGATATTTCGCAATCAATTTTAGGTGATTTTTTATGCTGCATCACATATATCTATATATCACATGTTATGTACAGTCATGATCAGACTAAGATGAATGACCTACTGACTTTTGAACTTTTTTAACAATTGTGCATTATACATGATATCTAGGTTTATCTTTTCTGCTATTTTACCTAGCCAAAATGTGCATGTGTTGATGTTTTCATAAAATTTTAGTAAGCTCACATATATGCATGTATAGGTATACTATAGCTACTAGCCTCGGCTGTCATAATACACCTGCTTATATGTATATAGGTGTATTGAGACACGAGGCTAGTACCTGTGGTAAGCTTAATTAATACATTGTTATATTTTGTATAATATCAGTGTTACTTTATACACAAACAATGTACTTATTAAATGTGTCGTAACATTTCAAAAACTGACTGTATGTGGTCAATTAAGCTATGACTGAGTGAGTGATTTGCATTGTTTGCCTGTACAGCAATGTGACGAAATGCATGTGAACTTCACATGACACTCATGATCAGATTACAAGATGTTTCGCCTATTGATAGAGAGCTCAAGTGTCAGTGTATATTATACACTGTACCAAATAGGTTACTGATGATTGATTGAAAATCTAGCCCCCTCACCAGTTAAAGTCAGTAGTGAGTCATACAGATAACTTAGCTGGTGCCCCCTCCCCTGTCTCTGTTCCCCATACCTTGTCTCTGTTCCCCCTCCCCTGTCTCTGTTCCCCGTCCCTTTTCTCTGTTCCCCATCCCTTGTCTCTGTTCCCCCTACAATGTTTCTGTTCCCCCTCCCTTGTCTCTGTTCCCCCTCCCCTGTCTCTGTTCCCCCTCCCTTGTCTCTGTTCCCCCTCCCATGTCTCTGTTCCCCCTCCCATGTCTCTGTTCCCAATCCCCTGTCTCTGTACCCATCCCTTGTCTCTGTTCCCCGTCCCTTGTCTCTGTTCCCCCTCCCATGTCTCTGTTCCCCCTCCCTTGTCTCTGTTCCCCATCCCATGTCTCTGTTCCCCGTTCCATGTCTCTGTTCCCCCTCCCCTGTCTCTGTTCCCCCTCCCATGTCTCTGTTCCCAATCCCCTGTCTCTGTACCCATCCCTTGTCTCTGTTCCCCGTCCCTTGTCTCTGTTCCCCCTCCCATGTCTCTGTTCCCCCTCCCTTGTCTCTGTTCCCCATCCCATGTCTCTGTTCCCCGTTCCATGTCTCTGTTCCCCCTCCCCTGTCTCTGTTCCCCCTCCCATGTCTCTGTTCCCAATCCCCTGTCTCTGTACCCATCCCTTGTCTCTGTTCCCCGTCCCTTGTCTCTGTTCCCCCTCCCATGTCTCTGTTCCCCCTCCCTTGTCTCTGTTCCCCATCCCATGTCTCTGTTCCCCGTTCCATGTCTCTGTTCCCCCTCCCCTGTCTCTGTTCCCCCTCCCATGTCTCTGTTCCCAATCCCCTGTCTCTGTACCCATCCCTTGTCTCTGTTCCCCGTCCCTTGTCTCTGTTCCCCCTCCCATGTCTCTGTTCCCCCTCCCTTGTCTCTGTTCCCCATCCCATGTCTCTGTTCCCCGTTCCATGTCTCTGTTCCCCCTCCCCTGTCTCTGTTCCCCCTCCCATGTCTCTGTTCCCAATCCCCTGTCTCTGTACCCATCCCTTGTCTCTGTTCCCCGTCCCTTGTCTCTGTTCCCCCTCCCATGTCTCTGTTCCCCCTCCCTTGTCTCTGTTCCCCATCCCATGTCTCTGTTCCCCGTTCCATGTCTCTGTTCCCCCTCCCCTGTCTCTGTTCCCCCTCCCATGTCTCTGTTCCCAATCCCCTGTCTCTGTACCCATCCCTTGTCTCTGTTCCCCGTCCCTTGTCTCTGTTCCCCCTCCCATGTCTCTGTTCCCCCTCCCTTGTCTCTGTTCCCCATCCCATGTCTCTGTTCCCCGTTCCATGTCTCTGTTCCCCCTCCCCTGTCTCTGTTCCCCCTCCCATGTCTCTGTTCCCAATCCCCTGTCTCTGTACCCATCCCTTGTCTCTGTTCCCCGTCCCTTGTCTCTGTTCCCCCTCCCATGTCTCTGTTCCCCCTCCCTTGTCTCTGTTCCCCATCCCATGTCTCTGTTCCCCGTTCCATGTCTCTGTTCCCCCTCCCCTGTCTCTGTTCCCCCTCCCATGTCTCTGTTCCCAATCCCCTGTCTCTGTACCCATCCCTTGTCTCTGTTCCCCGTCCCTTGTCTCTGTTCCCCCTCCCATGTCTCTGTTCCCCCTCCCTTGTCTCTGTTCCCCATCCCATGTCTCTGTTCCCCGTTCCATGTCTCTGTTCCCCCTCCCCTGTCTCTGTTCCCCCTCCCATGTCTCTGTTCCCAATCCCCTGTCTCTGTACCCATCCCTTGTCTCTGTTCCCCGTCCCTTGTCTCTGTTCCCCCTCCCATGTCTCTGTTCCCCCTCCCTTGTCTCTGTTCCCCATCCCATGTCTCTGTTCCCCGTTCCATGTCTCTGTTCCCCCTCCCCTGTCTCTGTTCCCCCTCCCATGTCTCTGTTCCCAATCCCCTGTCTCTGTACCCATCCCTTGTCTCTGTTCCCCGTCCCTTGTCTCTGTTCCCCCTCCCATGTCTCTGTTCCCCCTCCCTTGTCTCTGTTCCCCATCCCATGTCTCTGTTCCCCGTTCCATGTCTCTGTTCCCCCTCCCCTGTCTCTGTTCCCCCTCCCATGTCTCTGTTCCCAATCCCCTGTCTCTGTACCCATCCCTTGTCTCTGTTCCCCGTCCCTTGTCTCTGTTCCCCCTCCCATGTCTCTGTTCCCCCTCCCTTGTCTCTGTTCCCCATCCCATGTCTCTGTTCCCCGTTCCATGTCTCTGTTCCCCCTCCCCTGTCTCTGTTCCCCCTCCCATGTCTCTGTTCCCAATCCCCTGTCTCTGTACCCATCCCTTGTCTCTGTTCCCCGTCCCTTGTCTCTGTTCCCCCTCCCATGTCTCTGTTCCCCCTCCCTTGTCTCTGTTCCCCATCCCATGTCTCTGTTCCCCGTTCCATGTCTCTGTTCCCCCTCCCCTGTCTCTGTTCCCCCTCCCATGTCTCTGTTCCCAATCCCCTGTCTCTGTACCCATCCCTTGTCTCTGTTCCCCGTCCCTTGTCTCTGTTCCCCCTCCCATGTCTCTGTTCCCCCTCCCTTGTCTCTGTTCCCCATCCCATGTCTCTGTTCCCCGTTCCATGTCTCTGTTCCCCCTCCCCTGTCTCTGTTCCCCCTCCCATGTCTCTGTTCCCAATCCCCTGTCTCTGTACCCATCCCTTGTCTCTGTTCCCCGTCCCTTGTCTCTGTTCCCCCTCCCATGTCTCTGTTCCCCCTCCCTTGTCTCTGTTCCCCATCCCATGTCTCTGTTCCCCGTTCCATGTCTCTGTTCCCCCTCCCCTGTCTCTGTTCCCCCTCCCATGTCTCTGTTCCCAATCCCCTGTCTCTGTACCCATCCCTTGTCTCTGTTCCCCGTCCCTTGTCTCTGTTCCCCCTCCCATGTCTCTGTTCCCCCTCCCTTGTCTCTGTTCCCCATCCCATGTCTCTGTTCCCCGTTCCATGTCTCTGTTCCCCCTCCCCTGTCTCTGTTCCCCCTCCCATGTCTCTGTTCCCAATCCCCTGTCTCTGTACCCATCCCTTGTCTCTGTTCCCCGTCCCTTGTCTCTGTTCCCCCTCCCATGTCTCTGTTCCCCCTCCCTTGTCTCTGTTCCCCATCCCATGTCTCTGTTCCCCGTTCCATGTCTCTGTTCCCCCTCCCCTGTCTCTGTTCCCCCTCCCATGTCTCTGTTCCCAATCCCCTGTCTCTGTACCCATCCCTTGTCTCTGTTCCCCGTCCCTTGTCTCTGTTCCCCCTCCCATGTCTCTGTTCCCCCTCCCTTGTCTCTGTTCCCCATCCCATGTCTCTGTTCCCCGTTCCATGTCTCTGTTCCCCCTCCCCTGTCTCTGTTCCCCCTCCCATGTCTCTGTTCCCAATCCCCTGTCTCTGTACCCATCCCTTGTCTCTGTTCCCCGTCCCTTGTCTCTGTTCCCCCTCCCATGTCTCTGTTCCCCCTCCCTTGTCTCTGTTCCCCATCCCATGTCTCTGTTCCCCGTTCCATGTCTCTGTTCCCCCTCCCCTGTCTCTGTTCCCCCTCCCATGTCTCTGTTCCCAATCCCCTGTCTCTGTACCCATCCCTTGTCTCTGTTCCCCGTCCCTTGTCTCTGTTCCCCCTCCCATGTCTCTGTTCCCCCTCCCTTGTCTCTGTTCCCCATCCCATGTCTCTGTTCCCCGTTCCATGTCTCTGTTCCCCCTCCCCTGTCTCTGTTCCCCCTCCCATGTCTCTGTTCCCAATCCCCTGTCTCTGTACCCATCCCTTGTCTCTGTTCCCCGTCCCTTGTCTCTGTTCCCCCTCCCATGTCTCTGTTCCCCCTCCCTTGTCTCTGTTCCCCATCCCATGTCTCTGTTCCCCGTTCCATGTCTCTGTTCCCCCTCCCCTGTCTCTGTTCCCCCTCCCATGTCTCTGTTCCCAATCCCCTGTCTCTGTACCCATCCCTTGTCTCTGTTCCCCGTCCCTTGTCTCTGTTCCCCCTCCCATGTCTCTGTTCCCCCTCCCTTGTCTCTGTTCCCCATCCCATGTCTCTGTTCCCCGTTCCATGTCTCTGTTCCCCCTCCCCTGTCTCTGTTCCCCCTCCCATGTCTCTGTTCCCAATCCCCTGTCTCTGTACCCATCCCTTGTCTCTGTTCCCCGTCCCTTGTCTCTGTTCCCCCTCCCATGTCTCTGTTCCCCCTCCCTTGTCTCTGTTCCCCATCCCATGTCTCTGTTCCCCGTTCCATGTCTCTGTTCCCCCTCCCCTGTCTCTGTTCCCCCTCCCATGTCTCTGTTCCCAATCCCCTGTCTCTGTACCCATCCCTTGTCTCTGTTCCCCGTCCCTTGTCTCTGTTCCCCCTCCCATGTCTCTGTTCCCCCTCCCTTGTCTCTGTTCCCCATCCCATGTCTCTGTTCCCCGTTCCATGTCTCTGTTCCCCCTCCCCTGTCTCTGTTCCCCCTCCCATGTCTCTGTTCCCAATCCCCTGTCTCTGTACCCATCCCTTGTCTCTGTTCCCCGTCCCTTGTCTCTGTTCCCCCTCCCATGTCTCTGTTCCCCCTCCCTTGTCTCTGTTCCCCATCCCATGTCTCTGTTCCCCGTTCCATGTCTCTGTTCCCCCTCCCCTGTCTCTGTTCCCCCTCCCATGTCTCTGTTCCCAATCCCCTGTCTCTGTACCCATCCCTTGTCTCTGTTCCCCGTCCCTTGTCTCTGTTCCCCCTCCCATGTCTCTGTTCCCCCTCCCTTGTCTCTGTTCCCCATCCCATGTCTCTGTTCCCCGTTCCATGTCTCTGTTCCCCCTCCCCTGTCTCTGTTCCCCCTCCCATGTCTCTGTTCCCAATCCCCTGTCTCTGTACCCATCCCTTGTCTCTGTTCCCCGTCCCTTGTCTCTGTTCCCCCTCCCATGTCTCTGTTCCCCCTCCCTTGTCTCTGTTCCCCATCCCATGTCTCTGTTCCCCGTTCCATGTCTCTGTTCCCCCTCCCCTGTCTCTGTTCCCCCTCCCATGTCTCTGTTCCCAATCCCCTGTCTCTGTACCCATCCCTTGTCTCTGTTCCCCGTCCCTTGTCTCTGTTCCCCCTCCCATGTCTCTGTTCCCCCTCCCTTGTCTCTGTTCCCCATCCCATGTCTCTGTTCCCCGTTCCATGTCTCTGTTCCCCCTCCCCTGTCTCTGTTCCCCCTCCCATGTCTCTGTTCCCAATCCCCTGTCTCTGTACCCATCCCTTGTCTCTGTTCCCCGTCCCTTGTCTCTGTTCCCCCTCCCATGTCTCTGTTCCCCCTCCCTTGTCTCTGTTCCCCATCCCATGTCTCTGTTCCCCGTTCCATGTCTCTGTTCCCCCTCCCCTGTCTCTGTTCCCCCTCCCATGTCTCTGTTCCCAATCCCCTGTCTCTGTACCCATCCCTTGTCTCTGTTCCCCGTCCCTTGTCTCTGTTCCCCCTCCCATGTCTCTGTTCCCCCTCCCTTGTCTCTGTTCCCCATCCCATGTCTCTGTTCCCCGTTCCATGTCTCTGTTCCCCCTCCCCTGTCTCTGTTCCCCCTCCCATGTCTCTGTTCCCAATCCCCTGTCTCTGTACCCATCCCTTGTCTCTGTTCCCCGTCCCTTGTCTCTGTTCCCCCTCCCATGTCTCTGTTCCCCCTCCCTTGTCTCTGTTCCCCATCCCATGTCTCTGTTCCCCGTTCCATGTCTCTGTTCCCCCTCCCCTGTCTCTGTTCCCCCTCCCATGTCTCTGTTCCCAATCCCCTGTCTCTGTACCCATCCCTTGTCTCTGTTCCCCGTCCCTTGTCTCTGTTCCCCCTCCCATGTCTCTGTTCCCCCTCCCTTGTCTCTGTTCCCCATCCCATGTCTCTGTTCCCCGTTCCATGTCTCTGTTCCCCCTCCCCTGTCTCTGTTCCCCCTCCCATGTCTCTGTTCCCAATCCCCTGTCTCTGTACCCATCCCTTGTCTCTGTTCCCCGTCCCTTGTCTCTGTTCCCCCTCCCATGTCTCTGTTCCCCCTCCCTTGTCTCTGTTCCCCATCCCATGTCTCTGTTCCCCGTTCCATGTCTCTGTTCCCCCTCCCCTGTCTCTGTTCCCCCTCCCATGTCTCTGTTCCCAATCCCCTGTCTCTGTACCCATCCCTTGTCTCTGTTCCCCGTCCCTTGTCTCTGTTCCCCCTCCCATGTCTCTGTTCCCCCTCCCTTGTCTCTGTTCCCCATCCCATGTCTCTGTTCCCCGTTCCATGTCTCTGTTCCCCCTCCCCTGTCTCTGTTCCCCCTCCCATGTCTCTGTTCCCAATCCCCTGTCTCTGTACCCATCCCTTGTCTCTGTTCCCCGTCCCTTGTCTCTGTTCCCCCTCCCATGTCTCTGTTCCCCCTCCCTTGTCTCTGTTCCCCATCCCATGTCTCTGTTCCCCGTTCCATGTCTCTGTTCCCCCTCCCCTGTCTCTGTTCCCCCTCCCATGTCTCTGTTCCCAATCCCCTGTCTCTGTACCCATCCCTTGTCTCTGTTCCCCGTCCCTTGTCTCTGTTCCCCCTCCCATGTCTCTGTTCCCCCTCCCTTGTCTCTGTTCCCCATCCCATGTCTCTGTTCCCCGTTCCATGTCTCTGTTCCCCCTCCCCTGTCTCTGTTCCCCCTCCCATGTCTCTGTTCCCAATCCCCTGTCTCTGTACCCATCCCTTGTCTCTGTTCCCCGTCCCTTGTCTCTGTTCCCCCTCCCATGTCTCTGTTCCCCCTCCCTTGTCTCTGTTCCCCATCCCATGTCTCTGTTCCCCGTTCCATGTCTCTGTTCCCCCTCCCCTGTCTCTGTTCCCCCTCCCATGTCTCTGTTCCCAATCCCCTGTCTCTGTACCCATCCCTTGTCTCTGTTCCCCGTCCCTTGTCTCTGTTCCCCCTCCCATGTCTCTGTTCCCCCTCCCTTGTCTCTGTTCCCCATCCCATGTCTCTGTTCCCCGTTCCATGTCTCTGTTCCCCCTCCCCTGTCTCTGTTCCCCCTCCCTTGTCTCTGTTCCCCCTCCCTTGTCTCTGTTCCCCCTCCCATGTCTCTGTTCCCCCTCCCTTGTCTCTGTTCCCCCTCCCTTGTCTCTGTTCCCCCTGGCCTCCCTTGTCTCAGTGTTCAACGTTTTCCTTTTGTAACAGCTAGGAGAAAGATAAATGCAAAGTCAGACCAGGATTCAAGCTCAGGACCCTCTGAAATCTAGACGGATGCTCTACCAATTGAGGTGACCTGGTCGCCGGCAATTCACGACCCCGCCCGAAGTTCCATCAGCTATATATATACCTCCCTTCTATTTCTAAGTCTTCGACCCTGAATACTTCACTATTTAGAAGCCAGGTTTAGAGATCCCATTGCCAATGCGATTAAGCATACAAGTGAAATGAGGGGTTGCAAGCTTGCCAGTTTTGGGATGCTGAAATGGTGTTTCCTCATCACCTAGACAAACGCCACAGACGTCTCTTTCACGTAGGGCATTGTGACCCAGCCTTTAAATTGGTTTGGCTCTCATCTCTCTTCATCTATCTCTGTTATTTTTTTTATCTTCCTTTTCTTTTTAGCTCCAATTTCAGTTTGTTTAATGACCAGTCGGGGTAGCCACAATGGTAATCTATTAAATATGCAGTGATTATGCACTCCCTATCGATAATTGAAACTTCCTGTAGTCAAGTGACATTAAAAATAAACAGTTTCGTCACATCGTCGTACAGGTAAACAATACAGATTGCTTACTCAGTCATAGCTTGACAATGGGATCTGAGTCAGTCTTGAAATGTTGTAACATTTTGATATTATTTACTGTATTTCCAAAATATGAATCTAATTGAATATAATATATTTTATTCTATTTTACATATTGAGGTAGAATAATTCCTTCTAAAATCATCACATACAGCTATGTGTAGACTAAAGGTTACAAAAAATGTACTCCAAGTTCATTCAATTTTGACTCACATCAGGTAAACTTTGTGGGTTTTTTCTTTCAGGTAGGGAGTCATGTTGCATACATCTTCTCTTATCAGAAGCCATTACATTCGGTCAATTTACTATTTAAAATGTACCTTTAATTATATCCGTAGGACCCCGACGATGGCTCACCTGGAAGAAGGAGCTTGATGTTGGTGCTGACCTCGGCTACTTTTTACTGACCACGTTTGCAGGTACAAAACAATGCTTACATGACCACGATCAGTACATATATATATAAATAGCACTGAATTTATATATAAACTTTATTTTCTTTGCAACAATTATGAAATAAGTTTTTTCCAACATATATTTGATGATCTTATTGGGAGAGAAAACTGAAGTATGTACTCGGAGAAAACCCATATAATTGGGCAGGTGACTCTTTACCTTTTTTTACGTTTAATTGGAGAAGCAGACCCCAACGACTCGGTTTAAGGTGATCATGAGCACTCTTATCAAAAAACTGTGACACCTAGAAATTGGATTTGTGCATGTTCAGCAATTAATTTATGTTTTTATTATTAAACGGACTACAGAATAATGTGTACTAAGTAACTTTATACAGAAACATTTTAAAAGCAGCTAGTGATCAACTTATATTTATTACATATGACAGGGAAGAACAAAAGTCTCTCTGAAATTTCCTATGAATGTTATGACACCTTAACATGAATTAATATTAAATATGCAAATTCATTGTTTGAAGTATATTTTAGAATATGTATATATGCAGCTCTAAAAGTATCAACTTTATTTTTTTCACAACAATTACGAAACAAGTTATTTCAACTTATATTAATCATTATCGCTGGCTCGGATGTTACCGCACCATTGATTGCCTTAATGTGTGCCCGGAGAAAACCCACGTGATCGGGCAGGTGACCCATACCTTCTCACGTCTGATCAGGGAATCCAACTCCAGCTGCCACCCGACCACCCACATAGCTCCATAGCAACCATATACTACCAGACTTTGGGTCCTCCTTAAAAGTGTCTTCAATATATATATAAATATACTAGTCACTCCCCAACATTTTGTTAGCTAATCTTCAGTTAAAATTAAAGCTTATCTTTGATTTATATACAATTTTATTTTGTCTTTGTCATATCACAGAAACAATTAGCGATGGTATCACAGCTTTGTTGAAGGTTATATTAATTAAGGCCTCTTGTTTCCTTACCAGGCTTTCAAACGATTGGAGAGGAATACGTCAACATAGTACAGGTGGATCCTACGAGGAAATCTGTACCATCAACATGGGTAACTATTACTGTGGTCTAATTCAGTACCATCAAAATGGGTAACTATTACTGTAGTCTAAGTCTGTACCATCAAAATGGGTAACTATTACTGTAGTCTAAGTCTGTACCATCAACATGGGTAACTATACTGTGGTCTAATTCAGTACCATCAAAATGGGTAACTATTACTGTAGTCTAAGTCTGTACCATCAAAATGGGTAACTATTACTGTAGTCTAAGTCTGTACCATCAACATGGGTAACTAT